CACTATATGTGATTACTGATGCTTGTCCTTTTCAACCTTTTCAATCTTCTGGCAACAGTATTTGTCTACGAACTCCATGCTTTGGTTTAACATTATTCTCTAAACTATATCCCTACACTTAAGAAATCAATATTCAGCCCTCAGGGTTCATATTAGAAGATGGTTTGCCTAGTTGACATAAGTAGTGAACAATTGTTGGTCTATCTGCTGTGCAAGTGTGCATCCAAAAGTTGTAGTTTCCTTGTTGGTTTCAAGAAATTTTGAGATCATTTACAGTGAGATTTGTTTTAGACAAATCACTCTCCAAATCTATTGTAGTCTTTGTTGACACATAAGTGATTCGAGAAAAAAGAATGTACTTTATTATGTGTTTTCAACTATGGGCATCAGGGGCGAAGCCATGAATTTGTCATTGGGTGGGCGCCCAAGCTTTAGTTATCTCTCTGATAAAAAAAAAGATAATACAAATTAAATTTATTGACATAAAGGTTAATCACATGGCAATTGTTGGTAATTTCATATTCAAATCAATATTGCAAAATAAAATAGTCGTAAATGTACAAATCAATGCCAATCACAAATAGCCAAGCACTATAAAAAATAATAAACATGCAATTATAAGTCAATCACAACTCATATTCTCAGAAAAGTGTTATTGAAGCAAGAAAATTAGACAAACAATGATTAATAATCATGGCAGTAGTGATGGTTGAAAGATATATAAAAAAGTCAAGGGTAATATTGTCATCGACTCTTTGATATGCAAGCAAAGACATGCCACAACTCGTCGGAGGGTTGCATGCAAGTACACCTAAGTGAAGGCGGTCAAGAAATAATAATTTTTGATAAGTCTGAGGTCGAATTACAGGGATGAAGGGAATTTGGAGGTAAAGACAAAGAATAATAGTAAAGATTTGAAGAAAGTATTGAATTAGTTTGAATAACAATTGCAAGTAAATTAAAGGAAAACAACTATTGGGAAAACAACTTTTTAGCTTTGGGATTTGGATCTGGACATCCTCATCATATAATTATATTTATGCAATTTATAAATAACTCAATTGATTTTCAAATCAATGCAGTCAACCGGAAAATATAACTTTGAACACACAATTAGTTTGATTGGTCTGAAAATAAGATTTGAAGAACTAGTTTTATAAAACTTGCAAGAAATTATAAGCATTGAATATACTAAGAATTCATTCTTGTTAATAAACAATCAAATTATTATATAGAGTATAAAACTTTGCTAAAATATTCGATCAATCTTGAAAAAAACTAAAGATTTATCATTAAGATTAAAATAAGAATTGCATAAAATAATTATCCAATAAAACAATTACAAATGCATACCCTAGCTAAAAGGTACAACCATACAAGGAAACTACTCACTAGACATGGGTAGATCTCCAAAAACTAAAAGAAATAATGTAAGGAGGATCCCGCATTTTTCAAAAAAAAGAGCCAATATTTATACTAAGGAGGTTAAGAGTCTCAGTACAAGTCCTTGCCAAAAAAGAGTTTTTTTAGGTCAAATATTGCGCATTAGATGCCAGAGTCGCGTCTCAACAACTTCAACTTACTGGACCAATCTTCATGTGTGCATTCGAATGGTGACAAGATGTTAGGTGCATGATTTTGAGTGATTTGTAAAATAAAGAAAAAATAGCATTGAGGAAAAAAATCTGCTTTGAGGGGTGTGAAAACGTCCAATAGCTTAACTCGAGAAGAACCGAATCTTCAAAACTTCCACAAAAAAGTTCAATATAATATTCATCATACCATTTCTATTGATCGAAAAACCTTTAAATACAAGTTGATAAAAATTACCTTAATAACTAACATAACCCATAACTCCATTATCTTAGTAACCAACCACATAGGAAACTATCTACAAAATACTCTATCACTAACTCATTTACTAAAATTACTCCCTAATAATTACCTCAAATACTATATAAAAATATATTACAAATATGTACATAACAATCCATTCCCCTTCAAAACAAACTTTGTCCTCAAAGTTTGATTTATCATATACAAAAGTAGGCGGCCAACTCACTTCCTTATCCTCGTAGCAATCTACTTTATTTATATTTTCATAGATTGCAGTGTTAAACATCAAAATATTCCAACCTTTGTATTTAATTATTGCAGTGCTGTTGCTAAAAGCTATGTTGGCTGAATTTTCAGCTTCAACATGAAAGCTAATGACATGTTTGAGTCCATTTTCAAAGCACCCCACGGCTTGTTGTCTAGGCACTTTGCCGCATCCGATATGTAATATTGCAAAATGAGTGTAATAGTCTTGATCCAAGCCCATGTGCCTTAATTGTGTAAAAACACACATGACCAACTCATTATCTTTTTTTTTGAGAAGTTCATAACCCAACAGGGAAACTCCTTCTTGATAGTATGGTGCTAGCAGGACTTTTTCATCAATGGTGGTTCGGGGGAACTCAAAGAATTGTTCGGCTAGACCAACCCAACTAAGGCCATCTTCCTTGTGGTTGTATCCTAAAAAATCCAACTTTGCAAATTTGAGAGTACTCAATTTATAACTTGATCCACTTGAAGCGGCATATGGGTGGTCACTGCTCTTCCCTGCTATATGGTGTTATGATGAGCCTTTGCCTTGCTCAAGACAATGATCTCAACCGACCCCTAATTCTTCAAAGAGGTTGTCAATGACGAGAAACATCTCATGAATCTTTTTCATCATCCTCTCTTGTCTGACAATTAATGAATAAACTTTCGCCTCAAGTCGATCAATTCGGTACTCCATGTCTGGTTCTGATACTAATTGTTATGTACACGATTTTGAATAATTTGTAAAACAAAGAAATAATAGAATTGAGGATGAAAACCCGCTTCGAGGGGGCGAAAACCTCCAATGACTCAATTTGAGAAGAGCCGAATCTCCAAAACTTCTGCAAGAAAGTTCAATATAATATTCAATATATCCATTTCATTTTTTTTTTTGATCAAATCCATCAATTTCATTGATAAGAGGACCTTTAAATGCAATATAATGAAAACTACCTTAATAACTAACCTAACCCATAGCTCCACTATCTTAGTAACCACATAGGAAACTACCCACAAAATACTCTACCACTAACCCACTTACTAAAATAACTTCCTAATAATTACCTCAAATACTACATAAAAATATATTAAAATGTGTACATAACACAAGAACGTCCGGACAGTGCTAAATATTTGGAATTGTTTTAATAGTTGTTTTCAATATCAGATGTGCGTCCGAACGGTGCCAACTTTATGAAAAATCTGGACTCTGCTTGATTTTCGTGCCATCAACTTTGGGTGTACATTCAGACAGCCTTTGTGCATCCAAGCGACACTCAAACTTTGTCGAAACTCTAATTCTTGAGTCAAATCAACCTTCTCCGTTGTCTGTTCCCCTTGGACCACTTTGTTATCATCATAAATCATTTGAATTACCAGCAAAATGACACAGCAAGCGAAAACAACGATCAATATCGAAAATTAGATAATTCAACTCCTTTAACTTAAAATATTATGTAACTAACCCATCATTAAATATAATAAAGTGACACTTTTGATAGTTAATCATTGCACAACACCAGAGAATAGCACAACAGTCGAATCCATCTTTTCTCCCTAACTCTTTCTATCCTTTTCACGATTTTGTCGAATTCAGGATAATCTAATAAGGTGTAGATATTTATGAGTTTTTGTAAGTGCGAAGATTTTTGTATCATAGGATAATAATGACATTTTTTTATATAATTTTGTATGGACACATATGGACATGCCGGGATAAGAGAAATTACAAAATAAGCGATTGCAAAATTTTTAAACAAACTTAGAAAACCCTAATGTGCCCAAAACGCGACATATCTGAAATGTATCCGTGACATGTCCATAGCCATTTAGGTATATAGATTTACATGAATGTGATACCGGGGACACTCTAAAAAATATATTTTAGGAGTGTCATATATATACATAATACATTCTATATTAATTTTTTGAAAAAGTGAGGTTGGGCCCTGGACCACCATATTCCAAGGGTGGTTCCGTCCTTGGTGGGCATAGAATGCTGCCACACTTTGTATACCTTGGCCTAGGACACCTTGCTACGTATGCTGTTCTATCTGTGGTCTCTGGAGAATCTCTTAGGCATACGGCTTGTTTAAGTTCACATCTCCTCCATTCAACCCAAAGGACCTTAATTTTGAAAACAACTGTGTTCAACATGCTTGAATGGGTTCACTTTAATTGATAATTAAAAAAGCAATTCCGACGAAAATAGAGAGCTTGCACATGTTGGCAGTATTATGTTTCAGTAAATCTTTCTTCTGAAAGAAAATTATATTGAAAGTTCCATACAAGATAACTGTATCTACTACATTTTAGGGTAACGTGGCTAACCATGTTCCTTTTCCTGTTCTTCAAATTCCAGTTGGTTTCAATCTATTGCATGTATCTGTAGACGCATAGGTATATTCTTCCTATATTTCTGAGATATTCTTTCCATAAATTAATGTTGGATTCTTCACAAGTGGAACTTTCTCAAGTTATTTCAAAAATATACAGAGTATATTGTCACGAGAATTCTGAGTCATACAAGATTCTTAGTAATGGAGATCCTGGTTCTTAAGTAAGAGGAACACCTTGTGGGTCTGTATCAAACATAAATAACCAAAGTAATTAAGTTTTTACATCATCTGTGAAAACATTAGTATGCTTGCTGTAACCTAGAGAAATTGTCTTGTAGTGCGACTAAGGTCAGGTAAAGTATTGGTAGCTAGATAAATATCTTATCTTTTCAAAACAAGTGGAAAAATTGCAGTTTTTGGAATTAAATTGATGCAAAGATTGGCTAATTTGTATCTTAATTTGGTTGATTTTACTGCTGCAAATATCTGCAAATATATTAATCCAAGAATCAATGAATTCTTATTAAATATATCTGTAAATATATGTGTCACTACTATTTGTTTGGTTTTCTGCAGGTTTTTGGCACTGAAGAACCTTGCCACCGTTTTCCTTCAACAAGGTTCTACCCATTATGAGAGTGCACTACGCTGCTATCTTCAAGCTGTAGAGATTGATACCAAAGATTCTGTTGTCTGGAACCAGCTGGGAACACTCTCATGTTCGATGGGGTCTTTAAGCATATCTCGTTGGGCATTTGAGCAGGGGCTTTTTTGCAGCCCCAACAATTGTAAGCATGCACTTTGATTTTTTCTCTTTTGTTGTTTGAGAATTATTGCAGTTTCTAGTTTATGTTTGTACTCTTTGTGGGCCAATTTTGATCATCTTGTATGATGACTATCTTTTTATGTCCCTAAAGTTTGTGTTTTCCCGTCATTGGACAATGCATACAGGGAATTGCATGGAGAAACTCTTGGAAGTTCTTATTGCAATTGGTGATGAGGTTGCTTGCCTTTCTGTTGCGGAATTGATTTTAAGGCATTGGCCGTCACATTCTCGTGCTTTGCATGTCAAAAGTACCATTGAGGAGTCTGAACCAATCCCATATGCTCCAAGAGGTATAGACAAACTGGAACCTAAACATGTCCGGTTGAAATTTCCGGAGAAGAGAAAAGCAACAAACAATGATCCAGATGATGGTATCCTATCCAAAAAGCTGAACCAGAACATAGAATTGTACATCCCAGAGGCTTCCTGGACAGCTCTTGCTGACATACTTCTGGAAATTTTACTTCCATTGAGTGGATCTGGTTGTGAACAAGAGCCTGAGAAATTAGCTAGATCTGGGGATGTTAGATTAAGTATACAGTTGCCTCACAGTTCAGGAATTGTTATGGGGTCTGGGGAAAGAAAAGAATGTACTGTCACCCCACTTGCTGAAAATAAGTCTTACAGTAATTGTAATTCAGGCAAAGGTAGTGTTTTTACTGAGAAGGAAGCAATTATGTATGAAGAACAACCTCAGGAGAGGCGAAGTAGTCGTCTTGAAAGGCTTAGAAGTCGTAAACCGGGTAAAGAAGAATTAGATTTTGCGAGCAGTAAGGATCTGGGAAAAATTGTAGTGCAATTTCTAGAACCTTTTATTGTGGGTGGAGCAGGAACTAAAAATAGTAAGAATGATGCTGCCTGTTCTTTTCAATGTGCTGAGGTTGTGGCTGGTCCACTGGACAATGAAAGAAGTGAGGTTACCAGATTTGTTCAAGAAACCTCAAAAAATTATGGCGCTTACCACTTGGGTCACTTGCTTTTAGAAGAGATGGCAAGTAGAAGCATGTTATATCAGGACACCTTTGCCAAGTTTTTGGAGTTGGAGAAGGTGACTAGGCACTGGGGAAGGGATAGGACACCTGAATGCTGTCTTTTTCTTGCTGAGCTGTATTATGACTTTGGATCACGTTCTCCAGACAAGTTCAGGATGTCTGATTTCATGTCAGATGCATCATATCATCTTTGTAAGATAATCGAATCGGTAGCTCTAGACTATCCGTGGAACATGAGTGGTGGAGCTGGGGGTGAAACTTCCTCCAGTTCTCAGCACAATTGTCAAATGCCAATTGGCATTTCTTCTCTGTTGAGCAATAAACGTTTGTTTTGGGTTCGTTTTTTTTGGTTAAGTGGGCGATTATCAGTTTTGGATGGTAACAAAGCTAAAGCTCAAGAAGAATTCTGTATTTCCTTATCACTTTTGACGAATAAGGATAATACAAGTGGCTCTCCTGGATCTGTTTGCTTGCCCCACTGCAAAGCCATTAAAAAATTAACAATTGATAGGGTTCTGCATGAGATTAATTTACTGGAGGTGGATTTTTTGTTGAAAAAGACAGTAGGCGAGATGATTGAGAAAGACACGCATTCTGAGTGTGTAAGTTTGCTTGCCCCCCTTCTAATTTCTGCAAAAGATGTGTATCCTGATTTATTATATGTTGCCATCAAAGAAGGTGACGAGGTTACTTCACTTGAACTGTCAGCATTAGATGTTTTAATTAAAGCATGTGAACACACAGAGCCGATGGACATTGAGGTCCTTTTGAATTGTCACCAACAGAAGCTGCAAATACTCATGGTTGCAGCTGGTGTGGAAGAATGTCATGCTTCTGAGAAAATGTCAGGCTTAAAAGTGCTCTCTGTTTCTGAAACAGAATCAAAAGAAAACCCAAGCAAGCACTGGAATCACTTGGTTGATAACGAAGTGAAGGCAATATCTCAAATTGTCTCGCAGATGAAGAACCTCATCCATCCTTGTGGAAATTCTGTGAGTCAAATTTCATCCTCAAAAGTTGATGGTTCTATGTCCACAGTTTCATTATCCAAATATTCCCACAGAAGAACTCTGATATAGATAGTTCATTATGAGCTGGAATTAGCATTTTGCATGGAATTTGTTCACACTTTTTACTTTTACTTATAATTCTCAACTTGATGGATAATAGTGGCAGGTTTTGAAACTGATATTTTGTAGAGGACAACTTTTATTTTTCTTTTCATGACAATCATGCACTTCTTGCAAGTGTTTCAACCTTTTCTGAGCTGGAACATGTTTTTGAAGTTTTAAACGTTGTAATGCTTGTTCCTGGTTAACGGTAATGAATGCTACTCTTAGTGACTGTGAGTCTGACTCAAAACAGTTCCATGATTCTTCTTCCAATGAGGAATGCAATTATACAAGCTTCACCGCGTTTGAAAAATCTGTGAGATGTCCCCTGCTGGAGATCTAGACACGAGAGATGACCTTGATAAGTATGAACATCCAGATGTGAGTCTTGTGGTGAGCTGTACAAGGAATCTCTCAAGCTGAGAAAGGCATACATGAACATATCTTACAAGATCTAGTTAGTTGGATGGAGAGAAATGTCTTAAAACAAGAAGCAGCAGAATGTGCAACTCTGGTTAGTTAGTTGAAGGGTGTGTCACAAAGTTACTCTCTGAGTGTAACTTACTGTTGTGGATAAGAGAAACACAACTGCTGAGGGTGGGGAAATGTCGGAAAAAAATCTTCATCCATGGAGAATCCAAGAAACGTCTTGAGAAGAAAATTTCCAGGGTTGAGCAAGACCTAGCTAATACTAGAGAATAAAGGTTGGCTCAGATAAGTGGTCTGAGAAATTTAATAGACTACCTGGCACTTTCAGTTGAAGAGTGTCCCCTCCACCTCCGGAACCAATACCATGTTTGTAAAAGGGTCCCCAGCTGCACAAGTGAGAAGTCCACCAATAGCACCTCCTAGGTCAAATTTGCACTTTTCTTCACAAAATTCATTCCTATATGTTTTCATTGAAGGTGGAAGGTTACATCAGGCCTAGGTGCCCAGCCTTGGGTGAGCTCCCAATATGTCTAGATATCAACCCACCAACAGTCTAGAAATTCTTCAAAGGCAAATTCAAGTCTTGACTGAGAAGTCTAGAACCCAATACAACGAGGTCAAGAAATTGACTCATGTCACACTAGGGAGAAAGGTTTCTAAGACCCAGTCTAGGAGACTGGTCAAACCTAAAAACAGACCTGCCTGGGTTAGGGAAGTTGACCCCAATTGCTTAGCCATTCAATCAGTAGCTAATGACTTCCAAGATCTTCCATATTTTCCTACAGGGATATGAAGCATAATAAGGGAAAGTGGATTGCTGATTTCTGCCTCGGTAGTTGTTTTATGTCAAGCGGACTTTCTTCTGCAGTCATCCTCTTCTTTTTGGAACATAGTCTGCTGAATCATTGAGGATCACCATTGCATACCCATTCAGCAATAGCCAACAGTCATGATTTTATTGGGTCATAGGTTTATAATTAATCTGCCATACTGTGTATCACTTTATTTTTTACATGCTTTACATCACAGGATCCTTCAATATTTATTGAATCAAATATTATTGTGGCCCAACCCAGATTTAAGTTGTCGTGACTTGTGTGAAATATTCCTGATAATTCGTGGATACTTGCATATGCAGTATCTCTGTGTGGTTGTAGGAAGGCTTTGACCTAACATTGGTCCCATTTATGCAAGGTAAAATGGGTGCTCTGTGAGTTTAATAAGGTGCAGACCCAACCTCTTTTTAATTGTTTCAACTGTTTGCCCTTAGTTTCGGACCTGTGTTCTCTAAAAATAGGCTTGACATCTTAGCTCTTACCAATCCACCAAGCAGTTGCTCCTCTTATTTAGTTTAACCGTGTGTATTACTAGTTCACAGAGATTTACTGATCCCATATCAGTAATTTGTTCAGGTACATGACTATGAGTTTAGTATTTAGCTACTGAATTATTACCTTAATGTGTATCACCCACTCATTATTGTCCATCTTGTTGCCAATGATTGACATAAAAGCAATGAATTAATATTCAATCAACCTTTCACCTTTACAGTTTATTAGATTTTTATATGATCCCCACACTGTCTACCTGCCTATATTAGCATGTCCTGTTGGTGAAATGATTAATTGGCTGCATTTCATTTCTGCATACTCCAGTTAGTAATGTAGTCATGAGTGATTGATAATCAATGGCTTCCGCAGTTAAGCCTGTAGCACCAAAACGTATATGTTTTCAGTTCCATCAGCAACCTTTCCAATTGGATTTATCAGCACTCCTATGATGAGCTTGACATTAATCTTTGATTTAAAACATAAAAAAATGTATTTCAGCATAAATAATAGTTTTGTCTTAAACTTCATCTTTCCTTTGGGATATTTGTTTTCCTCAATTTCTTTTTGGTCTTGTTTGTTCCATGTGGGGATGCATAAATTGAATTTTTATGCTATTAACCTGAAATTGTGTGCCCCATCTTGTTATTATCAATGTTATGACTTGCCATCAGGGGGTTTATATAGCTCTTGGCAGGTGGTTCCTAGAGGCAAGTTTTGATGCTTACCTCATATTAGCTGCCGGTGCCGTGTTTAACCCAACCAGCGGCCAGTTTTGGTTTAAAATAGTTGATATTACCCAGACTATATGCTTCTCAATCAAAGTTTTAATCTGTGGAGGAGATATAGTGATATAAATTCCTGACATCTTTGTTATTTAATATCTTGGGTTTTTTTAGATTGATATACTGTGTTTATTGCAGTATATGACGATTTTCTTGCTTGCAGAATGGCTCTGCTGTTCCAATGAAAACCATTGGCGATATTCAGTCTTTACTGCTGGCACACATGTGCAATATTGCAAGCATGTACTTCTCTAAGAAGACTTCTGGGCCTGGTAGTTCAGATCAAAATGATCTAAGTCAAAGGTGCTGCTTCATAGATGCAACTATTGCATTCTGCAAACTTCAACACTTGAACCCCGCTGTCCCTGTCAAAACTCAAGTGAGTCTACTTCTGACAAAAATGAAAGTTCACATTTCAGTATGTCTATGCAATGAATTATTTCTTTCTCATTAGTGACACATAATCTTCTCTGACTGTTATCTCAGTCTGAATTGATCGTGTGTATCCATGACATGCTTGCTGAGTATGGCCTCTGCTGTTCGGGTGGATCTGGTGAAGAGGAGGGAGGAACATTTCTTAAATATGCAATAAAGCACCTATTGGCCTTGGATATGAAACTTAAATCTAATTTCCATTCTTTAAATAGGGGACTGGAAATGACTGAAAGGGACGAGCAGCCTTCCCATGATAATCATGTCAAATGGTCTGAGCAGCTTTTCGATGATAGTAATGTCGAAAGATCTCTGGTTGAATCAAAATTGGATTTAGTGAATATGGAAGAGGATCGGACTGATATAGATGAAGCCATCACTGTGAAGGAGGATGCTGTTGAAAGGATGAGCTCAGTGGGCGTATCACCTCATAAAGATTTAGAGAAAAAGAAAACAGAAGTAGAATGTGGTATACATATTTGTGATGGGTCCGGTGCCACGTTCCGTAGAGCAGAAGAAGCAAGCATTCAGTTTCTCGAATGTGGCAATGACCTAACTGAAGATGAAAGGGAGGAGCTTGAGCTTGGAATTGATAATGCTTTGGATCAGTGCTTTTTCTGTTTATATGGTTTGAAACTTAGATCCGATTCATCTGGTGAAGATGATCTAGCCATGCACAAAAATACAAGCAGGGGAGATTATCAGACGAAGGAACAGTGTGCTGATGTTTTTCAGTATATACTGCCCTATGCAAAGGCATCCTCTGTGAGTAGATTCCCCCTCTCCCCTCCTCCATTTCTGTTATCAGGGCTCACCTTTTGTTTAACATTGATACGTCTTTTCAGAAGATTTTGTATGGTGATAGTGCTTTTTCAGATGTCTATTTTATTGGATAATGTTTATAAATTTTTCAGAGAACTGGATTAGTGAAACTTCGGAGAGTATTAAGAGCTATACGCAAACATTTTCCACAACCACCTGTCAATGTTTTAGCTGGAAATGTGATAAATAAGTTTTTAGATGATCCTGATTTGTGTGAAGATAGACTCTCAGAGGAGGCCGGATCTAATGGGTTTCTTGATGCCATTACAAAGATACTATTTTCTGATGCTGGAAGCCTCAAACAACAGAAGGCATTATCTGCAGGGAGGTATTATCTTCTGATTACACCGTTTCTTCCATTAGATGCTTTAGTCCATAGACTTTATAATCACTTTGGTTTTAACAGCTGACTGTGTTATCAACTAACTGCAGTTCTGAGCCATATCTGGAGGTTTATTGCAACTTGTATTATCTCCTTGCTCTGTCTGAAGAAATGAGTGCAACTGATAAATGGGCTGGCTTTGTAATCACCAAGGAAGGGGAAGAATTCGTGGAGCAAAATGTGAATCTTTTTAAATATGATTTACTATTCAATCCTCTACGCTTTGAGAGTTGGCAACGGCTTGCGAATATTTATGATGAGGTTGGGTTTTTGGTTATTTTGTTTTGGCATCTGTAAATAATGTAGAAACGCACTAGAGAAATGAATTAAAGAAACTTTGAAGGGATGGAAGAAATTTTGGCACAGATTCAAAAATCTGAACCTTTAGTATAGATTGGCTGAAGAAATTCTTTGGCTTTATGCATGCAGGAGGTGGACTTACTGCTAAATGATGGCAGTAAGCAAATAAATGTATTAGGATGGAGGAAAAATGCTACTTTACCTCAGAGAGTTGAGGCAAGTCGAAGAAGGAGCAGGCGGTGCTTGTTGATGACTTTGGCTTTGGCCAACACAGCGGTCCAACAGGTTTCATTACTTCTTAGTTGTGTCGGTTTAAAAAAACTATGGTTGTTAGATATCTACATCTTAGTTGTGTAGGTTTAAAAAAACTATGGTTGTTAGATATCTACATCTTACTAAAGATTTTGCTACAGCTTGTAGCTTATGGTGATTGCTGATCTTGGATCATCTGTTATTATTGAATTTAGATGGTTATTATCTTATATGTATCCCATTAAATTGTTGAAATGTTCCACTTATGATCATTAGTATACTAGTAATTTTCCAGATTCGGCCCGTCTTGTAGTAGAATCTGCACCATCATATAACTTCCATGTCTCAGCCCAATAGGCCAGCAGGCGGAACGAGGAGATGGTCCATTGAAGTTGCTTGAGAAACCATGAGTTTATGCTGGAGGACTAGATGCCCGTGGTTTTCTTGTTGATTCTGAATTCTACTATTTGCTATATGATATGTGTGTTGTCAGCCATTGTGACAAATTCTGTGTGGTTGCAGGCGGAGATACATGAGTTATTGGCATTGGTGTACTATGATGGTCTTCAGAATGTGGTGCCATTTTATGATCAAAGATCTGTGGTACCCGCAAAGGATACAGCATGGATAATGTTCTGCCAGAATTCAATGAGACATTTCAAGAAGGCTTTTGAATATAAGTATATTTGCTTTTCGCACTTACTATCCTTATTATTTCTTGACTTCACATATAAAAACTGGACCAACTAATATGAAAATCTCTATTCACAGGGAAGATTGGTCTCATGCATTTTATCTGGGAAAACTCTGTGAAAAGCTCGGATACTCGCATGATATATCATTCTCATATTATGATAAGGCTATTGCTTTGAATCCATCAGCTGTAGATCCTTTCTACAGGATGCATGCTTCACGCTTGAAGTTGCTCTATACGGTTGGGAAACAAAATGAACAAGCTTTAAAGGTTTTTTTCTTTGTGAAACTTACTGTATGTTTTTATTACTATATCTGCCTCTTTGTTCTCTCCTTGTCTTTAATGTTATTTCCATCAAAGACTTTATACTTCTGCTGCTTTTATATGCATAATACATTTATATGTATGTAATATTCATATATGCATGTATGTAGATGTTGATGCCGAAGCACGCAAAACCATAGATGCACGCACACAAAAACAGAGAAGGAGGATATATTTTGACTTCTTCATTGCAAATGTTTTTGGCATATGATCTTTTGGACTTGCATAGGTTTAAGCTAATGCAAGCATATTTATTGATTATTGTAATTTGTTGCTGGATTTCTTCAGGTTGTTGCAGCATATTCCTTTACTCAATCTACAAAGGATACCGTCATGAATATGTTTGATAGAATGGACCCTGAAACTTCACAGTCGCCGGTGGATGTTGAGGGAAGTACTGATGGCAATTCTGACTATAAGTTGGAAGAGGTGTGGCATATGCTTTACGATGATTGCCTTTCGGCCCTTAAAATTTGTGTTGAAGGGGACCTCAAACATTTTCATAAAGCCAGATATATGCTTGCTCAAGGGTTGTATAGGAGGGGTGAGAGTGGGGATCTCGAGAAGGCTAAGGAGGAGCTTTCCTTTTGCTTTAAGTCATCTCGCTCTTCCTTTACTATAAATATGTGGGAGATTGATGGTATGGTCAAAAAAGGAAGGTATGTTTGGACACGACCAAACAGACGGTGTTCTTGTTTCTTTCTTTTTTAACTGCTTTGCTGGCAATATAGAAAATGAAAATGTGAAGTAATAATGTGTTTTAACACCACAAAGCCATGAATTACTTTATCCAGCTCTAGGGGAGTAATTGCGGAAAAAAAAGTGAAGTTGTTATTACTGGAAAGATTATCGTCACAAGATGCTGTATTGTTATTACATCATTTTTTGAACGTTGGTGCCGGCTAAATAACCTTTGATACCTATAATTATAAGGTTGGATGGGAGACCCATTCACTGGTCACACTCCACTCTCTCTACTGTGTATATGACTAGCTGAGAAGAAGAGGAAGAGGTGGGCCTTATTCACTCCTTTTTTCTTCTTTTAAACCCTCAACTTCTTTTCCCCTCTGCTTTTTTCTTCCACTTTTTCTCTCCTCTGTTTTTCAACAATCGCATTTCTAAAATTTTTTGGGTTTTTCTTTTTCTTCTTGAATATGTTCTCTTTCGTGTCATTTTTTTTCTCTTTTGTGTCATTGAACTGTGGGTTTCTCAATCAAAACCCCCTTTTGTCATTTTACTTTTGTTTTTGTTGGAGATCCGAAATTCGTCTTGAGCCTTAACAAATCACAATAGCCTAGAAATTTGTGAATTCAAATCTGTGTCTATAAATCGGAAAGGAACCTACCCAATCTGCCTGAATTACACCGTAGTTTCCACTTATCAAATGACTACATGATCAAAGAGCCATTCAAAATGGGACTGTGCAGGATACTTTTTTGGCACCCAGGGTTGCAAACTTACCTGCTTTGTCGAGTGGTTGGAGAGAAAAAAAAAAATAGAAGAGGACAGAAGAGGTATTTGGGGCCAGGGTTAGGGTTTTGGGTGCTTTGATACTATGTTGAGATTCTAGAGAGAGATAAAAGAGAAAGGCAGAAGTAAAAGAGTGATTGGCTTACACTAGGATTGGGAGACCTGCCCATATTAATGAACAAAAAAGTACAAAAATTCTCAGCCTAATGATTACTCTAATAAATCTAATAAGGTGTATACTACAAGAGGGTAAAATGGATTTTGTCCTCCTTTCTATATTTTTATTTTGAGTGCTGGTGGTTACCTTATGTGTTGTAATAAAACTATCAACTCATTTTTATTTCTGTCTCAGGCGGAAAACAATTGGTCTTTCTGGGAACATGAAGGTGCTGGAAGTTAACCTACCAGAAAGTTCTCGAAAATTTATTACTTGCATTAGGAAGTACATGTTGTTCTATTTGAAATTGATGGAGGAGACGGTAGACATCTCTACCCTGGACCGTGCTTACATATCTATTCGGGCAGATAAGAGGGTATGAACATGTCAATCCTTTTAGCATTTTCTTAATCTAGTGTATATTGCGAAAAATATCATGGGCAATATATTAAGAGCCTATCATATTTAGGACATGAAGCTTGGAGTGATTCTAGTTGAAACGAATTCTATGATTAGATGATTACTTGAATTAAGAAGACTGATGTTCTTGAGTACATTGATTTCTATGAAAACCTTCTCCTAGGTGAACTTTTATCTCATTTGACTTCTTTTCAAATGAGATCTGGTGGTTGATCCAACACTTGCCATTGATCATTTCTTTAGAGGATATTATTGCACATCTTAGTCAATGTTGTGTTTCCTGTAAAATAATTTCCATGGACGTTGTGGAGCTTTCATGTTTGATACTTTTCGCCAAGAAATAGATCTTCACTATATTATCTTGATTAATTTTTGCTTATGCAATGTTAGTATTTCCGTAGGAAGCCATCATCCCTGGTCTAATTTACATGCCGCTTTCAGCTTGATGGTACATGAGTACATGACTAATTCTATTTCGTTGTTCATCATCAAGTCAATTTGTAGCTAACTTGTTATAAATCCAGTTCTCCTTGTGCCTGGAAGATCTTGTTCCAGTAGCACTTGGTAGGTACATCAAGGCTCTAACTTCATCCATCCGTCGATCGGACAATGGCTCTGGTGCTGCGAGCGGCTCTCTTGATCATCTTCTGGAGAAGATGTTCTCTTTGTTCTTGGAACAGGTGACCTTATGGTCCGATATATGCAATTTGCCTGAGATCAAGGGCCCAGAGTTGGTGGAAAGCAACTTACATGGGTAGGTCATTAAAGAAAATAACAATCACAAATTAAAAATGTTTCGAGAATGCTGATTCAGATGAGTGCAATGCAGTACCGAGGACACATATACAAGTTGGACACTTAGTTTATCATTCACAATTATTTAAACAGGTTACCCTTTGCAGATATCTCTATCAATACATCCAGTCGTTAGAGAGCAATGCCAAGGTAGAAACGCTTGAAGGAATAAATGAGAAGATAAGAAAGCGTCTGAAGAACCCAAAGTTGTCAAACAGTAACTGCGCGAAGGTTTATAGGCATGTTTCTGCTGCTTGGTGTCGATCACTTGTGATCAGCATGGCCCTGATCACACCATTACATACCAGACTGTCAAGTGAGATCCAAGTTCCTAATTTATCAGATAGTGGTTCAGAAAACACCCAACTGCTTTGTGTTGATCTGCAAACAGATGAATTATGGAATTCATCATTTGAGGACCCAAACCATCTAAAGATTCTTGAAACAAAATGGAACCCTTCATTGTCCAAGATTAAGAATGTTATAATCAAGAAAGTTTCTGATGAAGATTTGGAGACTGCCCCAACATTGCTGAGATCTTCATACAACTTCTATAGGGACACCTCTTGTGCTATGCTCCCGTCAGGTGTAAACCTTTATATGGTACCATCTCAGTTAGCAACAGAAACATATATTCAGCTGGGCATAGAAGGGGTTGACATTCTTGATATGAATACCCCTCGGAAGCTTCTTTTGTGGGCCTACACACTGTTGACTGGTCATTGCCCTAATATCTCAGTTGTTATAAGGTATTGTGAAGAAAATGCCAAGGTATGTGATCTATGCTCCTTGGCTGAGTTCTTTGGTTGACATGTCAATATGGTTCTGTAAATAAAGGTTGGAGGTCTACTTAGGATAACTTAAGCTGGTGTATATAATTCAGAAATTGAAATGATTTATGAAACGAAGAGGGGCACACCTCTATACATCATAGCAAGCTAGGGATGCATACCAATCAACCTAACATGTAACAATCAACATCCCAGCTAAAACTGAGTACACAATAGTTGCAAATAACAATGAAACTAACAAATACAGATCTAACAACTAAGAAGTTCTCTTGTTTTGATATTTGGTCCTGTCCTGTGTATTTATTCAGAACTTTGACTCAATAAACTCCAAGTATCTTGAAATAAAATTAATGTAGTCGTGGAAAAACTATTGGTTCTTTTGTTGGGGGATTTCTTTATAAAAGGTCTATTGAAGCTTATCCATCTCTCCTTTACCAGTGAAAGTTGAGGGAAAAAAAGAAGAAGAGTTCCCATTACCTTTGAAACCACAAGCATGATTGAACTCCGAATGTGATTCATTCAGTTTTTGCTTGCCTATTGCTGGGATGGTTTTGGCTGTTTCTATGTCCTGTTGAACAAATACTCTAAATAAGACCATATACAGTTCTGAAGAACTAATGTATAATGACTTCTGAAGAACTAATGTATAGTGAGTTCTGGTTATGTATTTCAGTCCAAGATGAAAAAGGGAACTGGAAGTTCATCTGTGCCTTCAAGTACAGGCCTACCCACTGCCATGGCTTCTCATGCAGGTCCTTTACTTATCATATTTCTGATGATGTTTCATTTCTTTTGTCTTGGTAGAGCACAGACGCGAAATTCAGAGAAAATGACAATTGTGGCACAGTGTAGATCTTATTGCTTCATTTATTTTTCTTGCAATTTTCTTCCCAACTTATAACTGGGTTTAGCCTAGTCCTTTTGTTTTTCTGTTTGCACCCTGGATTTGAAAGAAACCTGTAGGTCCTTAGCCATGGTGCAAAATTTTATTTTCTCCCCCCCTTCTCTCTCTCTCTCTCTCTCTATATATATATATATATATGTATACCGAAATTTCTCTCATATCACCTAACCTAATATTGATTCCTAGGCTGTGTTGTAGGTGGGGGAAAAGATGGGATGGGCAAGTGCAGTGAACTGGGGGCCGGCTCAGCCAATGTAGGAGCTGCTTCTCTGCCTGGAATGGAGTGCACACGTAGTGTGGCATCTAACTCTTTGCCTGAATCTGAGAACAAATGCAATGTGACATCTGATTCTTTGCCTGAAACCGAGAGAGCAGAGAATGTGGCATCGTCTTCTATGCTTGAAACCGGAAGTTCATGTAATTTGGCATCTGTTTCTCAATTCGAAACTGATAGTTCAAAAAATGTGTCATCTTCTTCTTTACCTGACAGCAAGAGCATGCATAGACTAAATGCAAGTTCTTCCAATGAGAGTCAAAGGATTTTATCAGCTACTCCATGTCTACTTCAGTGCAATAGTATTGTTCCAGAATTGAGCAATGTGGATGATGAGCCGGATGGAGCAGATCCCAGCAAAGGTTAACGTTAGTAGTGTAGAGATTTGCTTTTAACCAATCACCAGAGCAACTAACCCTTTGTGTTGTATGTGTTTTTTGTATAGTTATTTTCGGTACAATCCCTTTTTTTTGTCTTAATGTAATGAAAAACACGTGTAAGATTTTTTTACTTTACTGTTCGAATTTACTTATTACTTGCATCATCAACCGGGTTACAAATAGATCAAACCAAGATTTATAACTAGAAATTATTTTTTAGCATTGTCCCCAAAAATTATTTCTTGGCACCATAATGTTAATATTTTTTGAATTTTTTTTTCCTATTATGGAAAACCAACTTAACCCAAAAAAATATATAAATGGAAAACCAATCTAAATCTAAAATTATGTACAAAAATTGGTAAGTTCACTTGATTTTGTAAGGATGATGCCTTCGAAAAAATATAGTGTAGTTCATTAAACCTACTATGATATAGATATGCGATAAAACAAAGAAGAATAAAATTACAAAAGCAAATATTCATAAAGAAAATAGAGATGACACATATCAAAGATAAATAGAAAATTGAGTTAGATGGTTCTATATATTTGTAGAATAATATATGAGGTCTATTACTAGACCAGCAAAAAAAAAATGATGTGTTCATGGTAATCAAAAAAGTAGAAGAGGAAGACTAAAGAAATATAAATAAAATACTAAAAAATATGATAATTATTGTTTGACAAAGAGTATGGTTGTCACAGCGTATAATAGTATAGAATTCATGTAATGACTCAAAAAATTTTAAAATAAATCTTGTTTTTTTTTGCTCATGAAAATGGTGGTTAGGGGCGACCAGGTGTAACAACTCTCGTAGGAAGTTATCTTGAGATTCTCACCTACTGTAAAATGTTTAGTTTGAACCATAATTATTGATCTGAGATGGTCATTTCCATCAACACGTCAATGTCGAAAGTAAGTTAGACATTCAACCCCTCCAACAATATGTGGTTCAGTGAGACTACTACTACCATAAGTGTGTTTGAACCTATGATTTTTTTTTTTTGAAAAGAAGTTTATTCAGATATTAATTACGTAAAAAAATGTTGATTACAATCCACGGATAAAAAAACCTTAAGCTCGAGGGGGGGGACAATACACCCAACTCAAAGGAATTGAGTTAGTTAGCGTCATGGTTATAATCCAATGAACTGCTCTATTAACAACCCATAGACTTGTGAATTATCGGAGAAATAAGAGACTTTTACAAGTCAACTAGACCATCACCTTAATGGTAAAATAAATCTTTCTTGAGTTGAAGCCCATATACAATATTGTTGTTGTCTATTAATGGATTTCGATTCTTTTCTCGACGGATCACTTATTATTTATTTAAATACAATTAATTATATATAATTGAATAGTGTTATTATTTATTTAAATACAATTAATTATATATAATTGAATAGTGATGAAAAAGAAAATGAAGAAGAAAATATATTAAAGGGAAGGGTGATCATGAGCTTGATATATGGGCTTTATGAGAAGGAGCCCAATACAGAGATGTGCACCTTGTGTGTGTTTTCTGTGTGACAGAGAAACAGAAATGGGAAGTAGAGTTTAAAATGGGAGTGTGGATTATGAGCCCCAAGAAGAAGTGGTGGGTGTGGTGTGGGTGGGTATACAATGGGAAGCAGAGCTTTGCTGCTTCTGAGAGGAATAACCATAAGAGCAGACCATGGCATCTCCTTCAGCTTACAGAGGAGCAGCTTCGGAAAAGATTTTATAGGGAAGAGAAGGAGGGTTCGAAATTATTCGATTAGGTCTGGTCTTGAGCCTCCTGATGTGCTTCGTTTGGCAGAAACCGCTCGAATTTCTCTCACCCCAGATGAAGTATAGTCTACCCTTTTGCACCTCTTCATACTTATTTATCTCTCTCTCTCTCTCTCTCTCTCTCTCTCTCTCTCATATGTATGTACTTATGGCGATACCTATACTGACCCGCACAGTTTTGATACTTGATGTATGTAGGTTGAAGAATTCGCTCCAAAAATTCAAAAAGTGGTAGACTGGTCTCTCTCTCTCTCTCTTATTTGGTTTGATAAGTAAACTGGGGTTTGTTTCCTAATTCTATGCTAGAGACTTGGGTCCACTTCGTGTATATATATATATATACCTCGTATGCATTATATTTATAATCCACTTCTCATTTGTGTAGAGACTATAGAGAAGTTTCAGTGGTTTCTTGTGAAAAATGTAATGAATTTGGTCACTAATAAGGATAAATCTATTTGGGTCTATGAGTTTGGGCACTGTGGATTGATTCTGGTAGTGATACAAAGTGCCAAAAGGTCATCGGTTGATTAGTTTACATTTTTTGTGCTGATTCATGACTTAATTTTGTATTAATGATGGTGCAGTTACTTGTGGTTATATAGCCTGTTGAATTAGGTTTATAATGGTAGGTTTGTTCCACTATGCTTCGTTGGATTGGAGGAAACTCCGTTGTTCTTTTAATATATGTTACTTGATGACATGTAACTGCTATTTTCACTGTTCTTTCCTTTAGAAGCCAATTTCAGTCGGAAATAATGCCTGTGTGGTACTTAGTTTTGTAGACAAAATTACTTATGGTTTGCTTGCTAGATTGTGTTGCTGTTGCCTTTTTGTCCGTTAGCATTCATTCTAGTTCTCATGATTCATGACACAATAAGGGGTTGTTTCAATAACCTTGATCACAGCAATTTACAAATTCTGATGTTTTACTTTGTGTTTCTTGAATTTTATGGGACAGGTTTGGGCAACTCCAAGCGGTTGATCTTCAGAGTATTGAGCCAGCCATTAGGGCAGGTGCTTAACATATTTTATTCCTCTAGTTGGAAAATTAATTCTTGGTTTGCTAAACAGTTTCTGCTTGTTGCATATGACTTGCATGGCCATCCAAAACTTATATCATGATAGAACCAGAAGAAGAGACAGTTGAATGACTGCTTTCTGTTTCTCAAGCATCTCTTTATATTTGTCTAGATAATCCATTAAAGGAACCTTTTCCATTAGGTTGGTCGAATATTAGAAATATCAAAAGATGTAATTTGGAGCCCTAGTTTCTTACTTGCTGGGACCATAGACCAGAAATCTTTTGTTGCTCACCTCAAATATTAGGCACTTCATGTTTTTCGCTATGGAGACTTCAGTCGCTTAGGTGCACAATGGATATACATTTTCCTTACCACTTTGGTATACATTCACATATCTTGCTGCTTTATCATCTTTCTAGTTTTTTTTTTGCAACACCCTCTCAACCACAAGCATGAGTTAGCAGGGAGCTCTATATATAGCTGTGATTTAATCCTTACAAAATTTCTTCATTGGTTACAGATACTGAAGGTGACAATTTGCGTGATGATTTGCCTGAAACATTTGAGAATGGGTAAGAAGGGTTTCTTTAATCTACTATGATCAAGTGTGTAACTCTACATCTCAATGCCTAGTGAGCACAATTGTGATTTGATGTAAATGTAAATTTTGTTCTTCTGTAGGCAAGCCATGATAGCTGCTGTTCCAAGCTATGAAGAACCATATATTAAAGTGCCCAAAGTTTTGAACAAGGAGTAACAATGTTTTGGTAACTTGTTTTTCACTTTCTTATTCTCTAGTTAAGTGCGTTGCGAAGTTTCCTTATGTAATAGCCCTTTCCATTTTTAGTTTTCTTAGGTTTTTTTTTTTTTTGGATGTGTTTCCTTAGCAGTTGGCATTCATTTTGCAATGTGGTGTTTTCTAGAAATTAAGGGATGGCCTCATTTATATATTTAGTTGCAAATTATCACTTTGGTGATGACTTCATTATACATCTATATGTGATTTGCAATTTGTGACTTCCAGGGTATTATCATGTCCTGAAATGTTATTTGACACTACTTCAACATGTTTTCGTAGTGTAGAAATGAGTTTACTTTGTTTATTACTTTTTCTAAGCGGATTTATTTTTCATAGGACTGGTGATCTGGAGAAGCTGATTTTGCTAGAAACATGTCTGAAGCATATTTCTTCTACAATAAATTTAAAGCAACATTTATGTAAGCTCACAGAGCTGATAGCCCTATGCTCACCACTTCTGTAATTATTCCATTCAAGTTATATTCTTGCAGAAGGTGTATTAGGGCATATATGCAATGCTTAAATTTCAACTTAGAAAATTGAATTTCGTTTATACTGCTTGGAACCCAAATTTTCTTCACCCCCGTCGATGATAGGTATATTGTATGATGACTCTTGATTTATCTGCAAATAGTTGGTAATGGGTCACTGATTTAACTTCGTTTCCCATCCTGGCTGACTCTGCTATCCATGTAGGAATGAAACAAATAGGTGGCACGAGGCGGGATTCATTTGGAGTTTGAAGCAAGAGAATGCTGTGGCATTATCATGTCACATGTGGAGTTGGAACTATTTAGTGTTTTTTGTGATGTTTGAGAGCAAATATGCAGATTCATGCACAATATGTAACTATGAAGTGGGTTGTGCCCATAGTAAACATTCTTAAACATTGATCGAAATTGAACTATGAGGATTTAAGTGCGTCGTGGTGGATTAGGTTGGCATTATCATGCAAGGAACGTTCCAGACTCTGATCTTATTAAAACCAACATCAAACAAGGATGTCTGCATATATAACACTTGCCAACAATGTTTTGATTAATTTTTTAGAATGTTTTAAAATAAATGTTTAATTTATTCTCTATTTTCATTCCGTTTATAAAATATTTTTGAAACTTTTTTCCAGAGCTAATTGAAATTATGCACTGAAATGAGATTTCAATCTTTTAGGATACAATACACTTGCCAAGGATTATTATATTATATTTTAAGAACCTAATTGTAAAAGTAGACTAAAAATTATTTAATTGAATGCTTAAAATGATCTAAAATTTAATAATTAAAAAATTATAAATATGTCATATATTTCACAACCTTACCCAAATTATGAGCCGAACATTACCCTCAATTGGGTAAAGTCGATTAAGAAATTGATCTTCTGGCTCAAAAGATGGAATACAATATTTTCTACCCGAGTTGACTCAGATGAATGAATAGCCTATATGAAAGTTTACAATTCTAGGCCTCCTAGAGCGGCTTAAAATTATTTGTAAGCAAAAGGCAAAAAATATAAATGCATCAACCTCTATAAGTTGTACATCACCTCAAAAGCATCCATATGGTGTAAAGTAACATGAAAAGTCTATTACAGAGAATTTTTATTTTCCCAAATGCCAAGCAAGAGAAAATTGGGGCAAAGAATACAACAAAATTAGATGGATTTCTGTATCATGGGCACATCCCGCTTCATAGTAACATGGGAGGGATAAACAATTAGCAGGGAAAAAAAAAAAAAAAAAAAGACGGCCCAATTCACGAGGCTCTTGTCACGACACAGATTTAAAAGAAAGCCTCTCACTCCATCATTTCTTTGTTGTTCCCCTTCACTTTATCTACTTCTGCGTTGATCATTCACCTACTCATTGAAAAAGATAGCAAAAAGAGGAACATATGAAAACGAAACGGGAAAAAGGGTTACTCTGGATCCTTGAAGATGTCTGCTTGACAAATATCATGATTGCCAGAATAGTTCAAAGTCTTTACTATACAACGACCGATCTTGAATCTCCAAATTTGCAACATGCCAATTGATGAACCGGGACTGGATACATTTACAGAAAACCAGCGCTAGGGGAAAAATCCACCATTCACTCTCATCCCTGGAGCCACAGCAATCACAGGATAACAAGACAAGACCATTAGTTTGCAGCAACAAAATTCTTAAAATCCCTGAATAGACAAATTTTGATGTGAGCTCTCACATGTTCCATGGTTCAAAGGCTGTAAGTTTTGTACTTGACTGGTTACTGTAGTGGATGTACCCGCAAATGAATGCAACAACCTGATTGAGATTACCGTATTATACAAAACTCAATTTATGTAAAGATAAATAAAATAAAATAGTACAATAAAATAGCAATGTACTATTTCCATCATTCTGCTAATCCACAAAAAGTCTTAAGATTTCAACTGGTTACGAATTTGATTGCAGATGAAAATATGACATAAAAAAAGGGGTCAATATCCAGCTTGTTCCCCATCCCTGAGGGTTGCTGGGAGGGGAGGACCGAGCACGGTCCTAAACGTTGCCAATATCTAGACAAAGTGGCTACCCACAAATTCAAACCACAACCTGAAGGCTGTGAGCCCGAGCATTTTACACTTACCCACTGAAATAAGCAATGACCCAAATATATGACTAGGAAAAATAAGAGAATAATTATTCCAGAAGTCAAAACTTGAACTGCAAAATATTGAAATGTAAACTCTTTGTCAATGTTGCCCTACCAGAAAATGGTAGGATATCATCAAACGTCATCATGGAAAGGAAGAGAGTAATGTAGATGAAAACATCAGGGTTGTAGCAACTTACAACATTAACCACAGACGTTATATTCCACAAAGCATAAACACGTGCAAGCCCAGCAGAACGCCTAGGTCCATGACTGAATAGAGCACTAATTCCAGCAGGGAATGGAAGCAAAATACCAAGTGGTAAAATAAACAAAACCAGAAAGACGTCTGCTAATGAAATTGAATACAAGTGGAGCAAAATAAGCAAAACTAAGCTAAAATCTCCTAAAAGCAGCATTGAGATGACCAAACCAACAAGATCCTGCAGCAAAAGATGAAGATATGTTCAGGAAGAGGGAGTAGCATCTCAGAAAACCTATAATAGCTTCAACTGAAAATGTGTGCCTTTATATGCCTTCAGCCCCCCCCCCCAAAAAAAAAAACACACACACGAGAGAGAGAGAGAGAGTAGTAACCTGGTGGCCAATTGGTTTAGTGTTATGAATTAGAAAAGAGAGGAAAAACATCCCTCTCTTCTCCTCAAGCATTTTTAAGCTGTTAAGATCTAAAATCCCACCAGAAACTGTCTGCCTTGTACTAATTTCGGTGTTTCTATGAGTGTTATTTAAGAGAATCTCTACCCTCGGGGGACCCGAATAATTTTCCTTCGAATTACTGCCAGCACTGCATGACAAAAAAAAGTAAAAGAGAAAAAGAAATTGGTTAAGAGCGAGGACAGAAAAATAAGTAAATGTACATAAAAGCGCTTGAATGCACCCGCACACGCACTTCCCACAAGTGCGCATACACGCATATACAACACACACACAGACATATATGTATAGAGAGAGAGAGAGCCCAAAAACAAAACACAAGAATAAAGTCAAGTATTCCAGCTGCAAATGGGTGCATATGCACAGAGCCTGATTGTGTGAACATTGTAAAGATCACACCAGACCAAATTGGGATTACATTTTACCTATATTGTTCTCTCTTTTTAACAATTATTTAGCATCTACTCAAATCCTGCCTGCATACCACACAAGCAATAAGTTGGTGTTATCTCATTATGCATGCCATCTGATTTCACTTGTCAATCAGTGATTCCCTCTATTGTATCACCATACACCACATGCTAGATATAACAGTAGTTCCCTTGAAGGCTAATGCTACATAATAGGACAATAAAACATTACTTCTCTTGTTGGCAACTGCCAACAAGTGTCTTTGGAGCGAGACTCTCACATGTGCCTAATTGCAAAGAAATCTTTTTTTTTTCCGACCTGAGAGAAACCATTTTGGGGACCGATAAAGCAGGTTTATGAAGAAACCCGACATTGAGGTAAAGTTACCATCAAGATGAAAAAAGATAATTGTAAATGACCACCTGCCACCGGCCACATGATACCCCTACTAGCTGAAGTAAAAAGTTGGGTGACAATCCATGTTTCTTCTATGCGAATCCCGTCTTAACATGTTCCACTCCTATCTTAAATGGGTTGGGCCAGGTTACACCAATAACATGTCCTCTACAGATCCACATTACAAGAACAATGAAGCACGGATCAAGAACATATTTCCTTTTTCTTTTTATTGCCGACGCTTCACTATGCATTTTCGCATATAAATTAATGCAAGTACTATATACCTGTAAGAATGCCCGTAGACATAATATTACCGTGAATGTTGCTGTCCTTGAGCTGCTCCAACAATAGTTCCGAAAGATCTACACCCAGTTTCTTCTTCAACAGCATATACCAAAAGTCCATACTGGCAATAACCACCACTTGTAGCTTGAAACCACGCTATATCAACGTGTACACCATAGACCCTCAAAGCAGGATTTGCAAGAGTTTCCAGCCATCTAATGACAGGCTGAAACATTACTCTGAGGCAACCCCGACGTACCAAGCGCAACTGTGCATTCAAACCAGCTACAAACCTATACCACGTTGTAGGTGGGATAAACTGAAATGAGGTGCACCAATCGATTACATTGTGTAGCAGCTCATGTAAAAGAATGGGTGTATTAACATTCCGATAAACTAAATGATAAGTTCCTCAGCCTGTGAGTTACAAACCTGACTCATAAGACTAGCTAAAATATTGTCATTGTTAAGTGAGAAAGGAGCCATGTAACTTCCATCACCTCCAAACACTAAAGACAATGGAAATCTTTCATGAATACGAGGAGGAAGATCATCTCTCTTTTCATTGCCACCAAGAAAAAAGTCCACATATGCTAGCAATAGATCAGATGTTGCAGCCACCTATGGTAATACAGATCAAAAAAGACCAGCTTGAGAAGTTTCCAGATTTCCTTGGGAAAACATTATGCTTTGCATATATGCAGACACTAACAAACGCGTAGTAAAAAACATGGAAACACTGGACTGTGCTTTACTATTATAGATGGCATAGTTAAACGAAAAGCACTTGTACAGCAACAAAAAATGTTCCAGCAATATTGAAATTTTCAACCAGGTGGAGAAGTCTAAAATAGGGAATCAGATGCAACACAAAAGCAAAGGGTTGGTCTACACTATATATTGCTTTGCAACAGATCCACGTTAACTCGTTTGGGGGCTAGTGCCCCCACTGACTTTTGAATAACATGTAAATATAATGTGTTACAAAGATCATAACTCTGTTAAAATTAATACATTGGCCCCTTAATATTTTGAGCATTGGCAAAATAGCCCATTTCTTTATCTTTTCAGTAAGTTATATATTATTTTTTTTTCTTTTTTCTTTTTTGGATTGCAGAAAGTTAGCAGTTTGCTGCCCCAAACCCAGCAAAACAAATCTTTACTTATGGATTGCATAGGATAGATGTGAAATGCTACGATTCATAAATAACCAATGATAATACTTCTATTCTACTTCATACATGGGCCTTACTTTTTAAATACATTTGTATAGTTAACCTTAACTCTCTTTTTTTTTTTGGCAAGTTAGAGGCTCATACCCTAGGAATACACCATTAGATGCAAATGGTAAAGTGTACTAACACCACTGTATTTTTGATCTTCCGAAAAATTAATTTCTCAACAAAATAAATAGTATCGTGATGAACTCTTTAACTGTGTTCATCGAAGGAATATTACTAAGAAACTTAGCATATAATTAATCAAGCATAAACCATTTTTTTGAAAGAATGTCATAACCCACTACAATATATTGTGATTGAGTTGACATGTATTAAAAAAAAATTGTGTTTTTTGGTTCATATATTGTTGAGGGCAAATGGTAATGATTTTATGTTTAGTTTAGTAATTTTGCCTGAGATATTAATATACTTTTTATGTTTGAACTACGTCAATATGTCTACGTCGGTGAATTTTTTTATTCATATTTTGACCCCTCCTCCGAGATACAATCCTAGCTCCGCCCCTACCCAAAGCACCAAGACAACAACGAAGTGACAGTCCTCATACGACAAAAATTGCTCAAGTCTCTGTGTGTTGCTTTCTTTCTCCTTTTACTTTTCATTTCTTTCTCTTCTATTAATTTATATTTAGTTCTCTTAGGGGATGTGTGCTGAACCGCATGCCAAAATCATTTAATAAATGGGAAAAAACTTGATTATAAAGTAGCACTGAAATAGAAGTTGAATTGTTAGGGTGTTGAAGAATAAGAGATTAAAAAAAGTGTGTATCGTATTAAGTAAACAACTACACCAAAATATATATAGTTATACAGTGCACAATATTAAATTACACTTACTCTAGTGTTAATGCATAATATAACACTTCCACTGAAATTGGTGCAAAGATATCTCTCATACCCAACTTACAAACAATGGGGTGAAAAACCTTACTACTAAGCCTCTTTGTGAAGATATCAACCAATTGATTCTCTGATTTCACAAAAGACATGCAAATCAAATCCTTGTTTAATTTCTCTTTAATAAAGGATTGGTTTTGTTTTGTTCTATTATGTTGAACTGGATTGTGGGCGCTGTTGATAGTAGCCTTGTTGTCCCAGTATAACTTCATAGATCCATCATTAGAAAACCTCATCTCTCTCAGCAATATGCAGAGCCACAAAAGCTCACAAACCCCATGGGTCATAACTCTATATTCAATCTCCGCACTAGACCTGACAACCACTACTTGTTTCTTACTTCGCCATATAACCAAATTAACTCCAGTCAAGGTACAATAGCCCGAAGTTGATCTTCTAACATCCACTGAACCTGCACAGTCTGTATCACTAAATGCTTTGAGTTTCAAATTCTTTAAACAACTGAGTCTTCAATTTGGTGACTTCATTCTCATCATTTCTAGTTTTCACTATGTCATTCAAAAATACAATTAAGACGGTGATCTTGTCATCCACCTGTCTGATGAAAATGGTATGATCAGTCTTACTCTGTTTATATCCAAACTTCAATATAGCTTTAAGGAACATATCAAAACTAAGTTTGAGGGATTGCTTCAATCCATGAAGAGACTTCTTCAATTTACACACCTTCTCCTCAGTTATTCGAGATGAAAAAACCAGGAGGAATCAACATGTACACATCCTCCTCCAAATTTTCATGAAGAATAACATTCTTCACATCCAATTGTTGCAAAGCCCACCCCAAATTACTTGCACTGGAGATAAGTACACGTATGGAGTTCGTTTTTACCATAGGAGCAATAGTCTCTTGATAATCAATACCACATGTCTACGTAAATTCCTTAACAACCAGCCTAACTTTATACCTCTTGACAGTCCCATTAGCATGTTGTTTGACAATAAAGTAAACACCCATCTACACCCTACGGTCCGTGCTTATGGACGAATATGAATAAGATCCCATAAGTCATTATTTGACAAGGCTTGCACTTCCTCTATCATAACTTCTCTCCACTAAGGATCAATGAGAGCATTTTTCCAACCATGAGGTATAGATACAGAAGACAAGAGAGAAACAAATGCCCAATAGGATGGAAACAAAGAATCATAAGAAACTAAGTTAGAGATAGGATGCTGAGTACAAGTACGAACACTGTTTCTAACTACAATGGTCATCAACAACAGGATTATTCAAAACAGTAACATTTGGAGATTCATTACCTGATAAATCCGTGGAAGATGAAATTGAAGTAGTGGAAGTCAACTAGTTTGGTGGCACATAGGTAATATGCACCTTCTAATGTCGAGCATAAGTCTTCAGATTATTCCTTGTGAAGATAATCACCATGTGAATCACCAATATTACCTTTTTTCTCTATAAGTTGTTGCTCCCCTTACTAACATCCCACTGAACAGGCAATTGAAGAAAAGATGGACGAAGACCTAGAAAGACACTCAATTGGTGACTTAAACTGAAGGACACTCAAGGATAGACGGTTAATAAGATAAACAACAGTGAGAACCGCATTTCCCCTAAAAAGATTGAGAAACATTCATAATGAACAACAATGAATGAGCAACCTCAAAAAGATGACGACTTCTCCTTTCAGTAACACCATTTTATTCAAGGATACTCACACAATAAGTCTGTATAGAATTCCATTCTCATTGGGGTAAGAACGAAAGTCTCCATCAATATACTCAGTTCCATTATCACTAAGAATTTTGACTTTGACATCAAATTTGGGTATGCAACATTTTATGAAAAGATCTAAAGAATGAGAAAACTTCACTTTTACTGCATAGTAGATAAACTCATGTAAGACGAGAATAACAATCAATAAAAGTAACAAATCAATGATAACCAGAAATAGACAAAACACTGGAAAGTCTCCACACATCAAAATGAATAATAACAAAATGAGTAGTGCTTCTATTATTACTAGGATAAGATGAACGTTTATGCTTGTCAAATTCACAAGCATCATAAACCAAAAATTGGCTACTAAACTGTTTTACAAGACAAGAAAAAGGATGTTCTAAAACACCAAATGAGGGATGCCTCGAATGTTTGTGCCATTGATGTAAGAACTGAAGAGCTTGACAGGTAGACTGAGAAGAAGCTTCACAGGTAGACTATTGTCTCGGAGAGCTTTAAGGGCTGAAATACCATTTGCCTGCAGAGCTTGACAGGTAAACTAAGAAGAAGCTTCAACATCCACAATGTACTCTACCACTGGCAATCGTTTTCCTCGACTCTAGTTCCTAAAATATACAATAACTAGGGAGGAAAGTTATTAAACAATTCAAGGATTTTGTACTACTACTAATAGACAATAAATTAGTAGAGAAATTGAGAACATAAAGAACAAAAAAGAGAGATAAAGAAGGTGAGCAATTAATTAAACCTTCCCCAGAAATAGAGGATAAGAATTCATTGGCCAACTTAACTTTATCCATACCAAAATATGTAGAAGACGAAGAGAAAAGGCTAGAAGAACCTATCATGTGATCCGTAGCTCCATAATCTATTATCTAAGAAGAACATGAGGATGATGTATCAAATGCACTACTAGATATATACCTGTATGGGCAAAGTTGAAAAAAGAGACGGGGGTAAAAACTGCAGTCGAGGAAACATCAAGTTGAATCATCAGACACCTAAGAGTCTGAATCTCATTGTGAGAGAAATTAAAAGGAGTAGACTGATGGTTCAAATCCCTCGACCACCACCTCGACCACGTATAGGACGTCCAGTCAACTTTCACTAGAACTCTCTAGTATGTCTGATCTTCTTACATTTTAAGGTATCCTTAAGAATAGTGTCATTCATCTCAGTAGACTTAGGCAGGACTGAACCCAAGTCACGCTGAGGGATAATAACTAAAGCAGACTGTTCCAGATAAGGACCATAAACCATAGCAATCCTCCGACTCTCCTCCTGCTGAATATAGACATAAACCTCTAAAGAAAATGGAGTACGACCCAAAATTTGAACTCAAATCTAATCATATTCAATATTAAGGTCAACAAGAAAGTCATATACTCATTCTTCTCCACCATCTACTGAAATTTGACCACATTATTGGTACAATCTGCCTGAAAACTCTAATAGTAGTCAAACTCCTACCATAAAGTGGTCAACTTCACCCAATATACTACAAGTGTCTTATCTTTTTAATTAGTCTCCCTGACTTTTTTTCGCAGATCATATGCCTTAGCATCATTACCCCATTGAGAATACGTATGAGACGCAACAGTCCAAATCTTATGTGCCCGTATCAAGTAGCCAAAAACCACGGCTTACAGATGGCTACATGGAGTTAAAAAATCAAGACATAATTAAAGCATTCTCAGATGTTCATCACACCATTGCATTAAGAAGGTACCAGAATCACTTGACTTCTTAGTCTCTTCAATCAAGCAACCGTCTAAAGATATCGCTTGGACAAATAATAGACACACTCTCGACCATGCCAAGTAGTTGCTCTCATTCAATTTCTCCGAACTAATTTGGACAGAAGGGATATTTGCCTGAGCACCCAAACATCTTACCCCATATCCTCTTGTACTTCCTACAGTAGTAGTAGAGGTCACACTCCATTCTGACATGTCCACGCAATGAGTTCAACACAAAGAGCAAGCAATCACGAGAAAACACAATCAAAAAAATTGTCTGAAACCAAAAAATGCCTCAACAGTCCCAAGAAGCTGCAATAGAGGCTATCAAAGCAAACTAAAGAGTGGACGGAAACAAAGTCCCTTGGGTTATCATAGATCTTCCATAATCGATCCTCACTAAGACGTTTTGGTTTGGAAACAGACTTCAACTCTGGCGAAAAGCAGAACAGAGATCTTACAAGGTAGCCAATGGTCGAAATCTCCCAGAAAACATTTCGAAACCCATTAAACCTCAACCAAACTGCCTAGGTGTTGTAGATCTGACCAAATCGCACCCAACCATGTGAGATCGAGCTAGAAAAAAATAGTCGCGAAGGGAGAAATTCGAAAATATGAGGTTTGAAGTCAAAATACAAAAAAAGCTTCAAAAAAATTCAAACCCCCTACAAATAATCTCGAAAAATTTCAAGAAAATCATCACAAATCTCAGTATAAAAATTCGACCATCCCCGCAAAATGTTGCAAAATTTTGGCATTGTTCAAGCTGATGTCATCAATAGACAAAAACGAGGTAGCACCTTTTTTTTTTCCAGATCTGATAATTTTGAAGCTTCAAATTTAGGTCGTAGCTTTGATACCAAGTTGAATTATTAGGGTTTTGGAAAATAAGAGAGAAGAAGAGAGAGAGATTAAGCAAAAAGTGTATCGTATTAGGTTAAACAATTACACCAACATATATATAGTCATACAATGCAAAATACTGAACTACCTTTATTCTACTATTAATGCATAACATAACAATAGANTTGTATTAGGTTAAACAATTACAGCAACATATATATAGTCATATAATGCAAAATACTGAACTACCTTTATTCTACTATTAATGCATAACATAACAATAGATTATGCAGCAGCTAATAATCTCCTAAAGCTCCATAAATAAAGAGTAAAAATAATGCTACATAAGGAATACATGGTCCAGGACAGGGAAGGAAAATTGACTGGCCTTTCAAGCCCTACTAAGTGAAGGGAGTTGCGTAAAATCTATCGGCCAATGAACCTGAATTGCTAAATCACCGATTTTTCATATCTGAGATGGAATAAATCACCACCAAAACGAACATGCGATCATTGAGCTACAGACATTGAACTACTTGCAAGGCATGCAAAATATATTTGATTATGGAACCCCACAATTTCCCATACTTATATCAGAAACTAACCTTCAGCCCTTCATAGAGAGCACGTGAGCGACAAGACCGTAAGCAAGAATGATCATACTCGGACCTCACGAATTCACGAAGTCGTTGTAACTTCGTTCTCTGGCGCCACTGTTGCCATGACCATGCAAGAGGATACGCAAGAATGCATAGAATACTGTACATTGATCCCTCCCACCACTGGTAAGCAGCTATAGCATTAATCTCGTCCACAAATCTGATGTATGGACCTTCATATCTGCCAGATTAATTTACAATTATTCTAAGAATTCTAACTGCAATTTATGAAGCATGCTTAACAAGGACAAAAATCAAAGGACTCTCACCTCCCCAAACACTGCCCCCTCCCCCAAAAAAAAAATAAAAAAAAACACCAAAACAAAGGAAAAAAAATTATAGATTAAACAAGTGCCAAAGAAACAATCAACCAACAAACATTAAGAGGAAAACAAAAAGGGAAAATACTTACATAATTTCTTTCACTTGTTCTGGAGGTGTATGAAGAAGATGCCAAGGTTCACCGAATGTATTCGAACCCAAAAAATAAATTCTATGTACATGCCTCTGTGACTCCTCAACTCTGTTTGTCTCTAAAACCTGAAATTCGGATAGAAAGCCCATCATTCAATATTTTTCGATTACAAAAAGAAGCCAAAAGAGAAAGAACAACAAAAAAGATTTTGCTCTGATGATCTGACACTTAATAGAGTGAAGAAATGGGGTTATTCAAAGAGGCACCTCATTCAGTGACTCCAGGAAAGGAAATGAGTGATCAATTTGAGAGCTGTGCTGTGTAGGAGTGGGGCCCGGTAATTCATCTACACCAACAAACTTCATTCGTGCAACACTAAGTACCACTGCTAGCAAGATGAGGAGACCCAAAAGAAGAAGACCAAACAACCAAGGCCCACCGAATGTGTACATCAACTCCTCGAGAGCCGTATAACAATGGGGCATGTGATATCTTTCCGAATTGCATTTGTAGGGACAAGGTGTTTCAGTAATGCCACCTGTTATAAGGACAAGGTGATGATTCCAAGATTAGTTTGGGATAATAGACAAACATCTTTCAAATAGACATCTCTTTATATAGCATTACAATAAACCAGAATACTATGGAGGTTGATTGGGTGATGAATTGCACATGGGACTACTAAATATAAAAGAATGCTTCATGGAAGACAAGCACGGTGGAGATCCACAGTGACTGCAACAACTCTGAGGACAAAGTCGCACAACACAGAAATTTTGTAGCTCGTATAACATATAAAACATCATGTGCCTCATTAAAGTGTGAATACCTCGGATGGTAGTGTAAACAGCACGATTGGGAAGCTCATCAGCTGGGCACGGAAAACAAAGCGCTCTATCAGATCCTGTTTCATTTTTATATGTGCCGGCTGGACATTCCTGTTCGAATGCAAACCATACAAAACATGTTTCACCCACAACTGATTATACCGGAAGCAGATTATGTAACACCAGTGCTTCAACAGTCCACAACGGACTAATTTTTGGGTCCGTAAAGAGTATAAAGTTAAAATAGGAAATCAATAAGTGAAATCTAAACACAATTAGTTATTGAAAAGAATCTAGGTTCCATAAATCCATATAAATCTTACATCACAAAAATCAGCCTAGATGTCATATGAATATCAATGGCCTTGGTTGCATCAAAAACCAAAATATACAATTTAGTCAAGTAAATTCAGTGTAAACTTAATATCTGTTCAATGGAAATCCTGGAACAATAAGTTGCATAGGTATTTTATCTCAGCAACGCTGCTCACAATTTTTTTTAGTAACTCAAAACAAATCATCGGGCAAAATTGTAAGTGTACCTCACAGAATGTTCCATAAAGCCCTTTTGGACAAGCTTTTCCAGTCACCGTACCTCTTTCCCCAGCACCACCATAAGTTCCAGCCCCTCCACCCCTATGGTGACAGCAGAAAACCACCAATTGTTAAAAAAAAATTATAGCCAACACAAAAGCTAGAANAAAAAGCCCTTTTGGACAAGCTTTTCCGGTCACCGTACCTCTTTCCCCAGCACCACCATAAGTTCCAGCCCCTCCACCCCTATGGTAACAGCAGAAAACCACCAATTGTTAAAAAAAAATTATAGCCAACACAAAAGCTAGAACTGGAGTACGGGCAAACAAAATACATTATGCATTGTGAAAAGTAAGATTTAGGTGTTGGTTTTTCCGAAAGAGCTCACTGAGAAAGGGCAGAAATGGTCTTTTGGAAAGCACTGGATATACTGGTCTCGTTATATAATTAAATCTGGCATTACTTGGAAAAGTGACTGAAGGATTTCCAGTTAGGATATTTGTTCTTTATTTGTTACGTCTTGTGATCATAAACATGCTTGTATTGGAATTGATCATAAACCATTTACAGACCTATTTATTAACAATATGAATTACCTGCCATTGACCTGCCATTGCATGTTGCATTTAATAGAAATAGTCATCCAATTGATAACATGTTTGTATTGGAATTGAAACTAAGACCACTAATAAATTCGAATGATTTTTATCTCTATTTCCCGTCATTCTTTGATGTTCTGAAATAGATTCATCAAAATTCTTCTTATCAACATATCCTCGTTCTCGATATCTTTGATTAGTTTGGAATTTACTCTTATAAACCATAGAAATACCTATGGTTTGATACATAATAAATTGTCCATCAATTTTTTCAGACAGACGAACCGATTTGATAATCAATACCCTTTTTTTCATCAATTTTGAAATTACACAAGTTAAAAAGATAAGCGTGTGCAAAAACCAAGTTTTTGAGCTTTATTTCCCTTTTTTTAACAATCTGATCCAAGGCTTGAGTTGAGTCTGACAAGAACAAAAAAAACACGAATCATAAGCCAAACAAACTAAAAATTTGGACAATGTGGTACGCATGCAAGTTCAGTCACATTGTTTCTCTTTCCCCATAACTTCAGGAAACAATGAAATAAACAACGACATATAGAAAATTATAAATTGTGCATTCCATAAAACTTAACTAACAAAACAATTTTTTTTAGAAGAAACATTGATTCATTGAAAAGTCAAAAATTACAAAGGACAAATCATAGGTAGACAAGACATCCAAAAACTAAGATATGAAAACATAAAAGAAACAAGAAAACAAAAACTCAAAAAACTCATGTATAGGCCATGCACTACATTCCACACGTTGCAGTCCAATTTGAAATAATGCATGAAATAGGGATATCTTTAGCCATGGAGGGCCTAAAAGGAAGCCAAAAAGTAAAGTTGTTCTCATAGTTCTTCAACCTCCTCATATTGTCATAAAAAAAATCCTTGCATTCCTTTCTAACCAAATCACCCAAACAAAAGCATTACAAGCACAACACCAAAGGGTTTTCCACTTCCTATTCCCACCCCTGCTCCAAACATCCATACATATCATCGAAAACATGTTTGCACGCCCAACAATGACCAACAAGTTTAAACAACTTATTCGAAAGAGAGAAAACAACAAGAGATAATCAATACATCACCTTTGCACATAACACACCACTCCGGTGAAAGACAAATCTTAGGTCTTCTTCTTTGAAGCATATCATAAGTCTTAAACTTATCATGAGCAATTATCCATAAACAAATTTGCACCTTAAGAGACACTCTAGATTTCCAAATCACCCTCGAAGGAGAAAACAACGGAATTGATGGATCATCAATTAAGCAGTCAAAAAAGGATTTACAAGAGA